CYTYYTWAAACAGTCTAATACAGTATTTCAATAAAATCATCCCCAGTATGTTGTTGACAAAAGATCATTTGTGACTAGCTTTATTTATTTRTTAGTACTGGAAGGACGAGTTTTTAAACTGGAAGCCTGAGGACTTTGGTGGTACGACATCGATTGCAATCAGTCGCCAAAAGATCTGGGCTCCAGATATKACTCTTTACAACAGGTATAATGCTATTTTCAAGAAAAGAAAGAAGAAAGTATTCACACGTGTTAAAAAAAGAACACTGTGTCAAAAAAAAACATTCTCCGCCGTCATTAAAAAAATTAAATTCTTTAAATTCAAACAAAACGGTCCCAAATTTTCATTTAGACGATAATTTTGTCAACTTAATGCCTGCCATTATCTCRCCATAGTGTATTGCAAAAGCCTGGAGATATCAAACTCAACTTGCTGGACGAYTTGATAGTGTCACACACCGGTTACGTCAGATGGCACTCTCCMGTTATCATATCATCAACATGCAAAATGCAAGTACATTCATTTCCATTTGATAAGCAGCAGTGCCAACTTGAGTTTGCGTCTTGGATCCTTGACGCTRGCAAGATGGACATTCAACTGCTTCAACCTTATATCGCCAACGAAAGTTATTCCCCAAACGAGGAGTGGACGTTTTACAAAAGTAAAGCCGAGCGAAAAGTGAAGAAATACAAATGCTGCCCGGACTCTTGGCCAAGTGCTGTGTTTACACTGTTCATCAAGCGACGTCCAAACTTTTTCATATTCAATCTTGTTCTCCCGTGTGGAATAATCACTACTCTTTCGATATTTTCGTTTATTTTGCCACCCAGCTCAGGAGAAAGAGTTTCCTTTATAATGACCGTATTAGTAGCTTATTCAGTGTACATGATGATAGTATCAKATGAGATGCCACATGCTTCTGAAACYCCRTTGGCTTCAAAGTGTTTTGCAGTCATCATGGTGCAGCAAGCCATTTCTCTCGCAGCCACATGCTTTATCATAAGATTTWACARCCATGACACACCAGTACCAAGATGGCTTGCTGTCTTAGTGAACAAATGGCTGGCGCGTTTGATTAAGATGAGTTCGGAGAAGAGATCCAKTGCCCCTTGCAGGACCGGAAACGATGACCTCATTATAAAAAAATCGTCATTCGTAAATGAAGATTTCAAAAATGAATATGACGAAATGGTCAATTATGGGCCCACAGCRAGAAATGACAATGACGTTTTGCTACRAGCCAAAGATAACAGCACACTTCAAACACAACTRGAAAAAGTGAATAWGGAGGTTAAAGTCGTCACCGATGTWTTTCGCGACTACAAAGCAAAAGAAATGCTTCAAGATGAATGGATTTTCGCAACGCAAGTCTTGGACAGGTTTTTTATTATCCTTTTTGGAGTGAGCGTTTTTATTTTAATGTTGATAATTGTGCTATACAACAATGAAGTGTTTGACTAGATTCAGTTTGTGCATTCAGTTTTCATCTCATAGAAAAGTTTCAAATCATCTCACTGAAGCACTGCAGGAAAAAGTAGTTCAAAGAACAATTAATAGTAAATGCATGTAGCTTTTTTTGAAAAGCTATCCATGATTAGCGTTAATCAGAAACAGTTTTCCGAATCATTAGTTTCGATGAAGTGAAATCAAGTTTGAAAACGGTGTCAAGGCCTAGAAAGGCCTCTTTGATCAATGCTGGAAGAAGCAACCTCGAATTTCTCGCGGGCCTCGCGTGCAAAGCTATGAGCAACCTTTTTTCAAAAGGCGAGGAACACGAGGCCGCTATCTTTTGTTTTGCTCTTTCTGGAACAGAGGCCTTCCACATGGTTTGCACAGCGGAATGGAAGAAAAATAGTAAATATTTTGCAAATGCACCTGCACTCAAAGATGTAACGACTTTGTTACTTTTAGATTTCAATAATTCAGTAATCAGTTTAACTTTAGTGACAGTGMTATAGTGACACACTGAAATTTGACTTGTTCTGGAATAAAGGTGGATCGATACACTATCATTATCCTCATTACCATTATTTATTGAGTCCGTGCACAACAAGYGATTASCATGGTTCACCATTCAGTTGAACTCTGGGCAAAATGGTAGGCTCTCCATTATCCCAACTCTTATCAGTACTAGGGACGGTGGAAATTACGAAATGAGTGGAAAGAGGCAGAAACGTTAAAGATATCACCCACTCACACTTGGAAAAAAAAACGGCCAAAAAATGCCAAAAATATCCCCTACCGTAACTGCGAAATCACACTACAGACTACAAACTCCTCCCAACCCCCTCCCTGACCTCTAAMCCACCACTGTTCCCATACAATGAAGGTAATTTAAGGAGGCACTCTCCTGCAAAACAGCCAGTATTGTAGAATTGAATTATATTTTCACTGTATAGTCTACAATAGCAAGAATAGCAAATCCATGGGAATTTACAAGCAGCGGGCATCCTTACGTGCTAATTAAAAAGTCCAGTTTCTCAACTCACACTTTCATGCTAAACTTTGTGGAGCTGACAATAAAGGAAATTAGTAYTGRCAGAYGGCCGCGCTTATTTCCCGTCAACACAAAAGAAATGTAAAAAAAGCGGCGGAAAGATTTGCAAATCAAAAACAACTAACAAACTTTTCGATAATATCTATTATTTATTACTCATGAKGTCATCTAGATTTGCATTTTATGTTGTCATTCTTAGATTTTACAATAAGATTTAAGGTGCAGATGTTCCACAACGGAATCGGTCTTGCATGCAGCAGTAGCATCGTTTGAAGACAAGATAAAATATGATGACCTTGAATATGGCGATGCTTTTCTTGATATATTCTTGGTCAGGTGAGTTTCTAAACTATTTTCCGCTTTCTTGTTGTTGTTTTTTTTGGTTTGTTTTCACTTGTTTCATGTTCACCTGAAGTTAATTTTGCTGATTAAGAGTTAGAGGAGTTGTCCTTGATTCAAAGGTGCTTTCATTTATGGTTTCCTTTTTTGCAGATATCATGTCACAAATCTTTTCATGAGTAAAAAAATGCTTTATACTTAAAAAATGAGACGGTACACTATGGATAAAAAACATTTCAGTGTTGCAATAGGAAAGGAAAGCGTTAAARTTTTGTGAATATTTTTCCAAAAATGGCTTAAATTGAATGGTTACATAATAGTCACACCATTGGTTTAAATTCCATTGTTGCGTGCTATTCATTGGAAACCACATGACATAAATTTTATTACAAAACAACAATTCCAAACTACTTCCTATTGGTCGAACGTTTTTACGGTATGGAGCTGTCATAATCATCTGAAACCGTAAAAAATTTAGCAATAACCAACAATGCATTTCCATACTAAAAGACACTAAGGCCTCACAGAAAACCACTTCCTTTAAAATTACTGCATTCACCTAGCTATGGCAATCCTGCGCCTTGGAAGTGTTAATCACTTCAATTTCGATTCGTGACTTCCAGGTGCATCTTTTGTCCAGTCTGCCCGTAACACAGAGAATCAGTTAATGCAGAAACTTCTAAAAGACTACGATCCCAGCACACGCCCAGTGAAAAACATATCACAAGCTGTTGATGTTAGAGTTGGTATAAATCTACAGCAGATTATTGAAGTGGTATGAAACTGTATATCTTTGTCCCCATACTGGGACAGATTCTGTAATTTTCATTTATATTTCAAAGAATCATCCAATCTTTGTATTTTGTTATTCAACTTTGTGCTAGAGTAGGCGATAGAAGGCGGGCAATCCGTAGTTATTCTTATCCGGATATATACTATGCTAAATGAGGGTTGGGTGAGCGGGGAATTAATGGGAGCAATATCGTGCAAGCATCAACTGATTGACAATAATTTGCTTGAAGGATTTCAAGCACGAAATGCTGACACTGTTGGTATGGATAAAAATGGTAAGTCTACGACACATAAAAGGGTTTATTACACATACCAGACAATGCACAAACAGGCTACTTCAAAAATATCCCGCTTACATCTCCAGCATTCTTGTTTAAAGGATCGGTTTCAAATCAGCTGTCATTAGCTTTAATATATTCATTTATTAGTTCTGGAAGGACGARTTCATAAACTGGAAGCCTGAGGACTTYGGTGGCATTAACTCCATAGTAATCCGTCGTCAAAAAATCTGGGTTCCAGATATTACTCTATACAATAGGTAGGTTATCTTCCAAAAAGGAGCTCATAGAAAAAAAAACTACAGAACTTCTTCACAGTCATTAAAGAAATGTAATTCCATAATGTAATCAAAATTACAATTGCCCAGAAGTGGAAAATTCGTGATTTTCTTTTTTTTTGTGTCAAAATGTTAATGCCTCTATCTCACCACAGTGTGTTGCTAAAGCCTGGAGATATCAAACTCAACTTGCTTGACGATTTGATAGCCACACACACCGGTGTCGTCAAGTGGAACTCACCTATTATAATATCATCAACATGCAAAATGAATGTACATTCGTTTCCATTTGACAAGCAGCGGTGTCATCTTGAGTTTGCGTCTTGGGTCCTCGATGGTGGCAAGATCGATATTCATCTACTTAACACTTATGTGGCAAACGAAAGCTACGCCCAAAACGAGGAGTGGACGTTTTACAATAGTAAAGCAGAGAGAAAAGTAAAGAAATACAAATGCTGCCCGGACCCTTGGCCAAGTGCTGTGTTTACACTGTTTATCAAACGACGTCCAAACTTTTTCATAMTCAATGTTGTTCTCCCGTGTGCACTAATTACGGCTATCACTACATTTTCGTTTATTTTGCCACCCAGCTCAGGAGAAAGAGTGTCTTTTATAATGACCGTATTACTAGCTTATTCAGTGTACATGATGATAGTATCAGAGGAGATGCCACATGCTTCTGAAACCCCGTTGGCTTCAAAGTTTTTTGCAGTCATCATGGTGCAGCAAGCCATTTCTCTTGTAGTCACATGCTTCATCATAAGATTTCACAACAACGACACTCCAGTGCCCAAGTTGRTTGCTGTYTTAGTGAACAAATGGCYGGCACGYTTACTTTTGATGAGAGCCGAGAGAAGATCCATTGCATCTTGCAAGGCTGCAAACGATTACCCAATTTCATCCTTTCTAAACAGTGATTTTAGGAAAGAAGATGGCGACCAAAAGAATGTCAATGAGCGCGAATCTACACCAAGGAATGTAGATTTACAACCAGTTAAAGAAAACAGAGCACATGCAGAACTGGAAAAGGTGAAGAAAGAGGTCAAAGTCGTCGCCGATCATTTTCGTAACCAAAATACAAAGGAAGYACTTCAAGATGATTGGATTTTCGCTACACAAGTTATTGATAGGTTTTGGTCTATTGTTTTAGCAGTCACCTCCCTTATTTGCGCGATAATCATACTCTTATACCAATATGAGGTACTGGAATGACTACACAGTTTCACACAACTGCCTTCAAAAGCAAGTAAATGCACTACCTGATGAAAGCCCGAAAAGCAGATGCGAAAGACTTTCGAAATGGGAAGCAGATAGAAGAACAGTAGATTTCATGACACTCACCACAGAATTTCATTAATAGGAATCGTNTTGGCTTAAAATACTGCTTGGTAAAACATCAAAAAACTCTTTGATATCTGTCCATTGGCCTCTTCTTAACATATTGTATATATATTCTATAAAATTTAGTGTGAGGGTGCTTCCACAATATAAATATGACTTCCATCAARGATATAGAAACATCAGGTAATTATAATAACAGTCTTTCTCAAAACTTCTCACACCTGATGCACAATGCAACACCTCCATTTGAAAATACAATTGACTGATTTTACAAAATTTATCATGAATTATCATTTGACACTTTCTTTCTTAGTTTCTCTTGATAAACAGACTCCAACTTYTTATTTCTCTGCCATACGGAGATACTAGAAATGATAAGTAATACAAACATGGTTCCCTAAAACAAAATAGAGCATTAAAATTGGGATAGATTGTTTACTGTGCATGTATCTGAACCAAGTAAACTTTAGAAACAAGTTTTTTCTATACATTCTACTGCTGTTTAAACACTGAATGGTCTATTGAATTATCATACTACAAAAGAGTACTGCTTCATGTACTACCAACTAGTAGTCCATTCAAACACCCAGTGACAACTTTACATATTTTGTTTCAGTGAATGTACACAAAATAATTGTAGACGAGGCTCCAAGAAAATTAAAAGAATTCATTGAGAATATCCATTGTTCCCCAGGGCCACATCTGATATTCTTTTTTACGTGGTTAGTAAGTTCCAATCCATGCACAAACTTTCAAAATTATTAATAATAGAGGCTGTATTTTCYGACACACAATCATACATTTTAGTTATTCAATACTGATTTGCATATTCAGCTACATTTTYAAGATAATAATTGTTGATTATGATTAAATGCTTTTTAGTTTTGAATTGTTTTGCCATTATCATGATATTATGATTCAATAGTGCTTTATAATTATAGTTTAATGTATAGCAATTTACCTCAAAACTCCAGAAATTTCTCTCTTCTATCCACCGCACTCGAGGACAACTAAAAACAAAAACAGGGGGAATACATTGTATTTCCATGCTTAAAAAAAGTATTTTCAAAAGATGTAACATACATGTGAGTCATGGATTAACTAAAAGTTCAGTCCAAGAAAAGTTAGTTGTTCAATTTATTGTTGTGTAAAAAGATAAATTTAACACCGTAAAAAAGTAGGTTAAATAACTTACTGACATTTTGGACGTTAATCTTTAGTCAGAGTAAAGAGGAAAAGAAAAGAGGCTCTTAACATGACTGTTTTTTTATTTAGAAACACCAAATGCAGCTCACACTAGTTTACCACTAGTTCCCACCATTTTGTTCAATTTATTGTGCCATTGCCTTTGGAGTGTTAATTGTATTTAAGAAATATAATACAGCCACGCATGTCCCTGTCTTTGATATTAACATGAGAAATGAAGCTACGCACAAGTGAGGCAAGCTTTTAGGGCATATGTTATCTTGCTTTACACAGATCAAGTACCTACATCCCCACTGTTTTTATATCAGAGAGCAGAGACACAAGCACTCATTTCATATTCTTTTTTATTTCATATTTCTGAATTTTAGTGTGTGAACTGCAAACAATGTCTCCGTACACTGACGAGTACCTTTTATAGGCCTTTTCATTACTAGTAACGCACAACACAAGTTGTTTATTACCAGTCTCTTGACATGATGTGCTCACTCTCTGTGGAGGATAAGACTAACTTGTAAYTAAATGCTGTAAAGAGACCACATCATTCTGCACAGATCTGCACATTGATATTAACTGTAAATAATTTTAAACAACAATATAACCAGAGGTAGCAGAGGTGACCCCTCTAACCCCTTAACTAACTCTGATATAACTTTCTATCTTCTGAATAATCGTATGAGGAAGTAGCTGATCCCATTAAAGAGTGCTCAATACATACACATAAAGTGTAGAGCTAGTTAATATAAGAGGCAAGATTTTGCTGTAACTCCGAGTTTCGTGCTACGCACTAATCAGACAGTCATCTTCTGAATATAATTTTGTCTTCATGATGTTCACGAATCCTTTTCAATAGATTTAGCTATGCTACCATCTGGTGCTGATTCGAGTTTCCATCTTGTTGATATACAATGTAGATTAAGATTTGTACCTTTTCGTATGAGCTACACCGTATACAGCCACCAACAACGTGAAATTCTTCATTCTCCCAGCAAAAGTGCTTATGATTTTTTAWTTTTGAACCTAGAATCAAAGCGTAAGAAAGTCTTTCATAAACATCATGGTTGACATTTCAATCTAAAACTCACCTTTTTGAATGGTAATTAAACGTTTACTTGAATTATTCCTACGAAATGCATACTGTAATTTTCGACTTAATTTCTTCGTCGTGGGAGAAGGAATTGACGATTCACGACCAGAAACTCGTCTTGAAGACAAAATTCTAACTGGTTTCGGTCTAGACGAGTTCACGTTTTCACCAACATCTGAACTTTTATTTATCATCAATTTACTGCTAAAACAATTAAAAAAATCTGTAAAATGATCAAGTGATCGGTTCAAGATTTTCTCATTTGCCTACCTTATTTGAAGGATAAATAACACAGCTATTACGGAAGATACTAAAATCAGTATCATCCGCCATTGCTTCATTGTAACTTGCCTCGATTTCAYGAGGACTGTAATATTTACTATAATRGMTCGCAATGCATTRTGGGAYGATTYAATGTTTTTTAAACGKCARTGACGTARTTTGTTAAATATCACGGAAAATTAGTCCCTCTGCATATAGTACTTTTTCTTTTCTATTCACTGAACAAATTAAGTCTTAAAAAATCGTATAAAATACGACAAAGCACCGAAAAAGGGAGCTTATTGAGTTTTTTTAGATGGCATTCGAAAATTGATAAAAAGGATTATCAATTAAGTGGACAATCACATTCAGTTAATCAACGAACAAGGCTAAATTCTAACTGACATTTAGCTAGATTAGAGATCAATAGACTGAAATAGATATAGATAGATCTTGGCTAGAGTTCGATAAATCCGCCATTTCGTTTAGATTTTTTTTGAATGACGAACCCCCCCAAAAAAGTGGTGACAGACCGGACCTTCAATATTTCATGAACAATTAAATMAGGACCTATTTTTCCGCGGTAAATATACTTAAAAGGCATGTGATTTTTGCCGTGATTTTCRTAGAAACCAGGATATTTCATATTCAGATGTTGAAGTTTTGAGACCGGGGAGTTAAGGGCGAAATCTTGACTGGATATGCGGGAAGTTGATAGCCATGCACTATAGTTGACRAGMTCGCCTGCTAGCGGCWCCGACACCACACGAGATGACTTTTGCAAGCAAAATTCCTGACTAATCTTGTAAAACACCGAATACTAAGTAAGGTAAACACGACGACTTTTTAAATCTATCACGCGTCATCATTAGACAAACAAAAGTCAAAACATACACCGACCAAGGAATTGATTCAACTGAAGTTGCTGTACTKGTCAGYGAATTGATTCTAGACCATTCTAGTTTTTGAAAGTGGAATGAATTTTCACTTGACACTTTTCAGAGTTTTATAAGGAGTATTRCGAAGTGTATTAAGGTTTTAAACTTTTCAAACACGAGTAAAYCAGTCCGTGTCAACTTAATGAAAAGAAATGTAAACATTTTGCGGAGTTCTTTACACACTTTAAATTATTCACTAGCTTAACCTTAGGAGTTCACAGACATCAAAAGCTAAATGGCAAACTCTGCTAACTTCTGCTTTCATGGGTAGTGAGACTCCGCTAGTCCTTGGCTTCTGAAACGCGTTGTGCTTAATATTTTGCGTCTGATCTTGACACTGTGCCGGTAGTTTCTATAAGTCATAGTTTGCAAAACTCTTTGAAAATAATGGCCAACACTAACAGTAATCAAGGAAAAGCAATCTGTCTTCTCATATTTGTTGTCGCTGTTTTACTAAGTGATAGCTCAGCCAAGACAGTTGCAAGTACCAAGAAACCTTGCACCAAGAAGCAAAATGGACAGAAAAATCTGGAAAATCACATGGCATCTACTATGAAGCCAATAGTTGACATAACTACTAGCTTACCAACAACATTGCCACCTAAAACGAAGAAGCCGTGTACGAAAAAGCACATCCATGGCGGCGAGAATAMRACTACTCCATYRAGTACAAGAGMAACCTTGCCTACAAAAARYAGGCAAACCTATACCGAACCAAAGTCAACAACTCACGCCCCAACAACAGCCTGTCGGCCATTGAATTGCGTGGTTAGTGAGTGGAGTGAGTGGCAGCCTTGCTCAGCAAGTTGTGGAATCGCAGGCAGAAAGCACAGATATAGAAAGGTATTGTTGATTATTACAAATCTATTTATATACTAATAATAATTTTGATCATTAATTCAGGTTGCGCGCGGAATTTAAGAGGGTTAAAAAATAGCGCGCTTTATCCAGCGGATAAATTATTTTATCACCGGTGATATAAAATTTATATAATCAAAGTTAATTACTGTGATACAACCATGCATGCTGTGAAAGACTTTCTGCATTGCATCGAATTCTAGACAGGAGTCCAAAAAAAAAGACAATTTAAGAAAAAATTAAAAAAGTCGCCGTAATACAAATGTAAATCAAAGATGTAGACCTACTGTTCTTTTAACTGCCCTTAGCTTTAGGGGGAAAGTTAGAGTATGAAAATAAAAATAACATTTGAGGYTTAAAAAGCAGCAGGGAAGCTCCATTAGATATACTAGAAAGAAACAGTTTAAGAGTATTTTGACTGCAACTGTATAAAAAGCCGAGCCGGTTAAAAATGAGTTGATGGGAAAAGCCGAGTGGTAAAACCTGGATATGTATATTTAATTAACTTTTAATTGAAATTAGAGTGATTGTCGAAGTACTGAGAAAGCCTTGGTCGAACGAAGAAAATTAAAGACATCAGTTCCCATTCAATAATTGCAAATTATATTTGAATCTTCATAAAATTATAACGTGTTTCACTTATCCTTCCCCTGCAAAGCTGCAATCATTTCAAAACCTTATCCTCATTTGATTTTACTGTTTCAGATTAATGCTGTCCAATCGTGCGGAGGAGTTTGTCCATATAACATGAACGAAGCCTCCCCTTGTAATAATGTTTGTTTGAACGGTGGCACAGTTTTCGAGAAAGGCTGCAAATGTAAAGCTGGCTACGATGGTGTTTGCTGTGAAAAAGGTATAAGTTCTCTCTACAAAAGCTCAAAAATCAGGGGCGTCAGTGCGAGGTGTGTTCGAAGGGTTTCGGAAACACTGCTTTTCTCGCACACGACCCTTATAAAAAAAAAAATTATAATTACAATTGAATTGATCAAGGAAACCAAATTTTCTTTAGTGCATAATACTTAACTTCGGTTTTCATTAATATTAGTCATCTAATGAATTTATATATTTTCTATACTTTTTTCATCTGTTCGTTCGATTCTATTTTCAGTAAATGGCATTTGGTCATCTTGGGGAAGCTGGAGCCTGTGCTCTAAGTCATGTGACACAGGGATACAAAGAAGAGCACGTACGTGTGATCATCCAGCTCCATCCAATGGTGGTCTTGACTGCGCAGGTCCAAGCACTGAGACAGTTGACTGTAACATACAAGAATGTCCAGGTAGCAGTTCTCAAGATTATGGATTGATTGATCGGCGGTGTAACACCACAAAAATGGCAAAAAACATAACCCGTTATAACGGGTTATAACAACCCGCTACAACGGGTTGAGAACCATTTCATTTCTCTAAGTATACTTGGCCCTGAACCCGTAATGGTTGGTTGCAATTTGAATGATTGGTTGATTGACTGGTTCATAACTGGTTGGTTGGTTGGTTAAGGCTGCATATATCTGTTTGGATGGTTGGTTAGTTGATTGGCTGATTAGTTGGTAGGTTGGTTGGTGGGTTGTTTCGTTGGTTGGTTGGTTGGTTGAATTGGTCATTGGTTGGTTGGTTGGTTGGTCGTTGGGTTGGTTGGTTTGGTTAGTCGGTGGTTTGGTTGGTAGGATGGTTGGTTAGTTAATTGGTTGATTAGTTGGTTTGTTGGTTAGTTAGTTGATTGATTGGTTTGTTGGTTGGTCGGTGCGTGGGTTGGTTAGTTAGTTGATTGATTGGTTAGTTAGTTGGTCGGTGCGTGTGTTGGTTAGTTAGCTAGTCAGTGGGTTGGCTGTTTAGCTAACTGATCAATTGCTAAAATTGATTGACTGAATTCTCAACTCTATAGTTAATGGAGGATGGAGTGCATGGGGGGACTGGTCCTCTTGCAGTTCCTCCTGTGGAGAAGGAAGAAAGTTCCGTCAACGGCAGTGCACCAATCCGTTTCCTAGCAAAGGTGGACTGCCTTGCATTGGCCTCATGCTGTTGACTGCAAAATGCCAGCTTGAAGAATGCAAAATGCCAGGTAACGTTCAACTATTGCTTTGTCGTTTTATTATGTGCTCTCTGTGCGCTTCTTTTGGAAATGCATTACACCAATCACGTTTTCTATCAATTAAAAATTTACATATCTTTCTATTTCTTTTTCCRTTTTTTGCTGTTAATTTCCGCACTTTTTTCAGTTGATGGTGGCTGGTCAGCGTGGCTCGAGTGGAATCCGTGTTCTAAAACATGCGGACTTGGTTCACGCCTGCGCACTCGAGTATGCAACAATCCTCTTCCTACTGATGGTGGCAAATCGTGCCCAGGGTCAAATCACGAAGAGGAAAAGTGTTTTAAAGTCAAATGTAAAAGTAAGTGAAGCTGTCATGTAATATTTAAGGTCCACAATTGTATGGTTCACAAGCGGCTAACATCATTATCATCATCATCATCATCATCATTATCATCACTGACTTGTTATTGTACCGGAACTTCAATATAACTGATCTCCAACGCATGCCAACAGCCACAAGAAAGTGTTAGTAATCATATATATAATTGTCTACAATCTAAGACTATAATTCTGATCGTAAACATAGGGTGCACTTTGAAACAAAACGCTTTTTTCAGTTCCAGGGAATGGCGGAGGCGGTGGTGAAGGAGGATTTGGGAAACGTCACGCCAAACATCACGCAGCAACCAGACATCGTGACAATCGTTTGTCATCAAAACGTCACTCCCTTCATAGTTCAAGCAGACGTCTCCTTAGTTACGAAAATAATGACATCATTCCAGATTTTGATGTGTATGTACTGAAACATAACGAAGAATCAATAAGACGAGACGATAAAACGACTATCACTGGTCCTTGGACAAGCTGGAGTACCTGCAGTACTACTTGTGGTCCTGGACAGCGGTTTCGTACTCGAGCTTGTAGCGAGCTAGCCAATCCATGCATTGGAGTTCCAATGGATGTAGGATCATGTAATATGGGAAAATGTAACACATAAATATCTACTGTATATAATACAATCACGTTTTGATATTTGTTAAAAAAGCGCAATAAAGAAAGAAGACAACTAAGGATGATGCAACATGCACCCATGATGACAACGTACTCATGCGCGCATTGCATGATTCATATATCATTTAGGCCCGGCCGTCCAMTTTTATAAACTGATATTTCAATGTGCAAAAAAACACTTTTCAAAACGCAAACTGTACCCAGATCACTAGAAGCTTGGTTTAATTTTTTCTCRTACTAATTCAAATTTTTGTACATCTCCAAGATCCGCCGTCCTGATTCCTAGCTTTCCTTATATCCATATAAATCCTTCATCCAGCGACCTTACTAATGTTTAAAAGCATTTCAAAAGCAATGCTGGGTGGTTATTTACACATTAAAGTGCAAATACAATGTTGCCTTCTCCTTGGAAACACAAGAACGTTCAATATATACACTTCGTCTGTTTTACAGACGTCTCAAGTAGCTTAAGTGGATGCATAATTTGGACTTGAGATGTCTAGTTTGGACATCTATTTGGATGTGTCCGTGTCCTTCACGGTTCCCTGCGCCATCTTGATAGGTAGCAGTGCCTTTACATCGAAGAGAGATAACCGTAGAAGCCCGTAGAGCGTGCAATGATAGATACCTTTCGTTTCTATCATTTGCACGCTGAACGGGCAGTCTCGCTTCGATGCAAAGGCACGGCTACCTTTCAAGATGGCGCACAGGGAACCGCGAAAGCCTATTCCAATGCCCTCTTTCTAAGATCAAAGGTAATAATTATTTATATTGACATTAATTGTGCATTTTAATGAAATAAAGACATTTCAGCTTCTACTATATAAATCTTTATTGCAGTTTCCTTCACATTCCTATTTCTGCTATTTGCCAAGTTTTCACTTTGTGTACATAGCACATAAGATTACCATATGTCTTTTTTATTGACTTATAATTAGCATCTAGCTATTGTTCATTAGTACTCTGCTATAAACTAATATATACAATCACCTGTCCCTGGTCATCACTTATAATCCCCCACGTCTACAACTACACTCATTTTTATAACCACCAGCAAAATGAAGGTTTACATGCTGTTACTCATGGTTCTACTGGCCCTGATTTTGGAAATGGAGTGTACTCCCAAAAGGGGACGAAAGAGCTATGGAAATCGTCGCGTTCGACGCCAACGACGTCGTTACTGCCGTCGAARAGATTGCACAGTCTCTAATTGGAGTACATGGGGACACTGTAGTCAAGATTGCGGCAGCACTGGCGTTCGAAGTCGMTCTCGGAGGGTTTTGATACCTGCAAAATGTGGAGGAAACGCTTGTCTGGCTCTACGAGAATTASAAGCGTGCAACAGAAAGTGYAGCAACGGTGGAATCCCACAACCTGGCCACTGCAAGTGTCTTCCTGGATTTACAGGCAAATGTTGTGAGCATGGTAAGTTTACGGTAGGATGTATAGACAATTAACCGTTGTTATATGAAATATAGTAGTCTTTACAGCATGCATTCATGATTAGATAAAGTGTGTTGCACTTTTTGAAATTTGGATGTTTACATTAACAACTTGAGCTCAGATGCCCTATTGCGACATCCTTTTTTATCCTTGACTTAGATCTGAAAAAAAGAGAGATAAATATTCAAAGATAAAATAATCTGTACAAATTTATTTATCGTATCCATTCAAAGGTTCGTCTGGATTCTGCGCATCAAAGAAAGATGGCCTGTACAGGAATCCMAMGGACTGTACGACATTCTATCACTGCGCCCATGGAATAACCTACCTCAAGCATTGTCCCTCGACCTTAAAGTGGAATGACAGAATAAAGACGTGCGACTGGCCGTACAACGTCAATTGTGGACAAGGTAAGGTGATCACATCACTAGGTCTAATAGTCTAAGTATAACTAAGAATTTCTCACCAAACACAACTGGTCTTTCGTGCAGCATCACGCAAATTGAAAATGTTGCGAGAGACCTTCTGCACTGTGCTTTTCCCAATCATTTAAGGACTAATAACAACTTAATATTTGACTCATTTATATACGCAGAGAGCTGCTCCTGGAAAGATTGGAGTGCCTGGACAAAATGCTCAGCCTTGTGTGGTTGTGGAACTCAAAAAAGAACTCGTCAGTGCATTTGCAACAACCATGGTAACGGCTATAAAAGATATGGTAACCATGACAAGCGTTGCTCTGGCACCAGCGTCGAAGAAGGAAAGTGCAATTGTCAAGATTGCCCTGGGCCTAACGTGAAAATAGGTGTGTAGGATAKTAGCAATATGAATAATTCAATTTCATCAAGATGTCATGAAATGACATGGTCTACTTAGTCTACTTGCGATATATAAAATAAGCGTCTACTTTGCATATTGCTTTGTGCGCATTTGCAGATATAAAGCATCCGAATCTCAATGTTACATGAGCTATTTTTTCGCGACTTGCACGCACATTTTGAAAAAAAAATAAATGAATGAATGAAAAATTGTTAACATTACCATCAGTGGTTGGTCTTGTTTCTTGCTCTACCGGCTAATATAATAACGTTTTTCAAAGCAAAACTATGCAATTCGTTTCAGCACACATTGGCTGCTACAAAGACGAGAATGAACCCAATAGAGCTCTTCCCGACTACGTAGCAAAATTCCTCGGAGACACTCCAGCAGTGCACAAGATTCAGTCATGCGCACACTTAGCCAAGAGGTTGAAAGTGGAATATTTTGGGATGCAGGATGGAGATGAGTGCTGGGTAGATTTGAAGGGGCTTAATCTATACAACAAACAYGGCAAAAGCACCAATTGTAAAGATGGCATCGGAGGAGGCTGGGCAAACGATGTTTACAAAATACTTACATAATAAAGTATTTGAGTATACCCGATTTATTAAAAGAAAATCGTTTTTATGAAATGTCTGTTTTAGTTACTTATTTTGATACGGGGGAGTGAGCAGGGGTTAGCCTGGAAAGCGGCTATTTGGGAGAGGAGAAGGTGGAAAACGGAAAGGGAGGGGGTCGGGRGTGGAGGGGAAATTTCAGGGGGTGGTTGAAGGGGCTGCGGAAASCTCCTTACTTGACAAACTAAGTCTTTAAAATATGAGATTTTTGTCAAATCAATAGGGTGACATATTTCCTGGTAGTCCAAGTGTTCGGTGAATAGGGATGGTGACTCCATCAGGAGGSCTCCTGATTCCATTCATTTTTGACATTTATTGAAATTCGTTCTCAGTCTCACACGGTTCGAGYAAATCAAACTTTCCRAAATGGCGGACGAAAAGACGTCAAAGTCCGAACCTGAAATCAAAAGTGTGATACCAAGCCAAAATGCAACTCCTAATCCGTTTAATCCATCWGATAAAGACAACCTTATTGTGGCAAAGAGGAAAATAATATTCACGAGAATTATGAAAGTATTTGTGGTATTTCTTGGCATTCTTATTGTTGCGGTGGTAYTGACGTCTGTCATAACGACTTTTGCTACCTACAAAGACACCCTTGGGCCTTTGTCYTTAAACATCAAGCGTGGTGAACTGTCTATAAARAACGCCGGAAAAGCAGAGGCTTTACAGGGATCCATTGGGAAAGGRTTTGTTGGGGGAAAACTCTACATACATCGAATTAAAAKCGATGGTTTGTATTACGAGTGGTTGAATAGCGCAAAACTAAGAATCGCGAAAGACAACGAGTTYGGAAAGTGCTATACGTTKAAATGGAGTCCTGGTGAGAGCGGTTTAAGGTCTTTCGAAGACTGCTTTAGTCTTGAAAATCAATATTTGTATGGTGGGTCTGAGTTATATAATCAATCTTGGCCTCTAAATAAAGCAAGTATTTCAATGAAGGCTTATCAACCTAAGGACATAATCCTTGGTATTACACGCAACGAAACGCTATATGGACCAGTATTAGAGAGATATTGGATAACCTCCAATGGTATTGCTATAATTGTAGACGATTCCACTCCTCTCCATGTTAGCCTCAATGATGACAATAYAACTCCTCAAATATGTCTAAAGAGTGACTTACAGGGGTACCCTGGRGGACTTGTAGATCTGACCTATAGACTCTGTATGGACGCTGATATTAAAACTGTACATCAGTATGTCATGGGAAAAATATTTAAAATGCCTAAGTCAATACCAGATACGCGTATGATAAGGCAACCYATTTGGTCCACTTGGGCTATGTATGGCAAAGACATTACTCAAAGAGATGTCATAGATTTTGCTCAAAAGATTCAACAGTACAATTTCTCATGCAGTCATATTGAAATTGATRACATGTATTCATSTACATATGGCGACTATGATTTTGACCAAACCAAATTTCCAAATGCATCGTCAATGGTTACAGCATTRCATGATAARGGCTACAGAGTAACCGCCTGGGTGCATCCTTTTGCAAAYACAGACTCAAAAGCATTTYTGAAGAACATCAAGGACTGGGTAAAAGGGAAGGACCCTCTGGTACCAGGGCTAGTTCATTGGTGGAATGGAATCGCTGCTGCTCTKGACACAACCAATCAACAAGTAGTAGAGTCATTTACCTCTCGACTGAAGACTTTCCAGWCAAAGTACCAGATTGATGGCTTTAAATTTGATGCTGGTTCCCTAAGTTACCTCCCTATAGACTACAAACTGTACAACTCAACCATCATCAACCCAAGCTGGTATTCATCAAAGTTTGCAAAGTTAGCRTCACAATTTGGAGGACTTGTTGAAGCACGAGTCGGGTACAGAACYCAAGACCKCCCAATATTCATTYGCATCCTTGACCGTAGTTCTATATGGGGTCAATTTAATGGGTTAAAATCAGTGATACCTGCAGTTCTAACCCTGGGTATCTTAGGTTACCCATTTGTACTCCCCGATATGGTTGGAGGAAGTGGGATGGATTTCAGCAAGGGTGTGAGTTTCTCACAAAGACCTGACAAAGAGCTGTATATTCGCTGGGTCCAAATGAACACATTTTTACCTGCAATGCAGTTCTCCATTGCGCCATGGCTTTATGACAATGAAACTGTATCAATTGTCAAAACCTTTATTGATCTGAGAGAAAAAATCTCTCCTGTGCTTATTCAAGCTGCAAAAGATGTGCCRTTATTTAAGGCGCCAATTGTGCGGCCAYTGTGGTGGCTTGCCCCCATGGATAAAACCTCGCTAAMCWTAGACTCTGAGTWYATTGTGGGTAAWAAATATCTCATTGCGCCTGTTCTAGATCCAGTTACAGTTCACAAGGGTGTACATAAAGTCTATTTCCCTCCTGGTGGGAAATGGAAGAAAGAATTTGGTACTCAGGATATCATTGATACAAGTACAGGTGGAAAGTGGATCTCTTTCAATGTGAAATTGAAAGATCTTCCATACTTCTCTTTTGTTAAAGATGTGTAAAAAAAATGAAAATGCCAAATACATTTATTAACCTGAAACATTAGTACTAGTGTGGGGCTTTTCGAGACCAATGACAATAACAAATATTTTTTATAGAGGAGTTATCATGCATGCTTATAGAGTCATTTGTGTATTTTCTTAAGCAGCTTTCACTATTCTATCATCACAAAACCACAATTTATGTGTAAATCACAGAAACATTTTATAACAATAGTATACAGTATTCTAAAAAATCTTGTGAAAGTTTTATAGCATATTTTTATAGAGAAAAAAAATATTATTAAAATATTTTAAATGCTGACATAACATATTATGTAGTAAGTAAAKGATTAAATATGAAAAGAAATGAAAAATGTAAAGTTCCGACTAAAAATTGTCGATATAAAAGTGACCGGGTTCCCTGTGGTAAAAGATAACACAGGAAGACCAAGTCAGTCGAGCTGGTTCTTGAGAATCGTCTTCATATAGCATCTGGAACCATGGATGAAATTAGTTTTTAATGATTATTCTCCATAGATATGCAAACTGGCTATGCTCAGAACACTTTTTAGAAGTACAAAAACCTCTTTTAGCCCATGTTATGTTATTTCTGGCGTAGCTGCAAGATATTTTTCRCGTAACAATGTCAAGAGCTTGACAGTTCGACTTCAAAGAAAACGCGATTGTTATCTAAATTTGAGAAAATTTTCGTCGAAATCGAGTCCAGTACAGGAGTATGAAGCACATACAAACCATCCTTTGGAGGTAAGAGAGGCGCACTGTGAAATATCTTAGAACTTTTATGCCTGACATATACTTCTATACCCAGCAACACGCTCTTAAAATTATTGAAATATAGTTCTTTACAAAGAGCGCACAGCAAAATACAGAAGAAGAATAGATACAATAATGTCCAATATGTAACTACAGAGTTTCTCATCATTTTAGTTATTTTTGATTAGTCCTGATGGATTGTAAAAAGGGTACAAATATTATAAGCAAATTTGTAATATCATGGCCGCCATACTTGAGCCATCAGCATGTCTGGCCAGAAGTTTGTATAAAGGTCACGCGCATAATGTTCMATTTCATCAGAATCGCCGGGTTTGAATCAAGTGTGTTTCAAAATCAACTCAAATGGCTGATAAAATAGACGAAAAAGTTGCAAATATGAGTCTAGAAGAGAAGAAAGCTCAGCCACAGGCARCGAAAAAAGATAAAAGTGCAAAAAAGAAAGGGAAAGCTGCCGACGCCAACTCAGAACCTCTAGAGGTATAAGCTTACGTTGTACTCGTGGCCAAGCTAAATTTKGRAGGAMAATTGCTCAAATTATTTATTTAAAGTTTGGTGCRGCTTTCACTAACATGGAAGTTATATAAAAAGTTTTATTTTCACCACTTAAAACTACTTCAAGTTGTTCAAGTTAATTTTTTTCAATCCGATTGTACATGTTTGAATGGGAACTTCTTRTTTGATATTGGAGATTTTTATTAGTTCTATTTTTAGAATATTTCGTCATAATAATTATTGATGTATTATTATTATTATTGTGTCATATGATCATCACTATCAATGAATTATTAAGAAAACAGAAATATGTCTGAATATGTCTGATGATGTAAATATTCTCATGAACGCTGTATATAAACCGGCTCCATTCATCTGAAACCGTATATA